TATTTTCAATTTAATTGGATTTTGAGCCGTACCAAACAGGTCCTTAATATTTAAACATTTTACAAGTATTACTTACCTTGAAAAAAATTAAGTAAAAACGTTATCCAAAAGCCTACATTTTCATAAAAATCAAGCAAGAAAAATTTGAGAAAATAATGTCCAAAAAGACGTCCAGATGGCTTAGCAAACGTTCGATTCGTCCAATGGTCAAATTTTTAACCGTTCTGAATTCTGATGCAGAACGGCTAATTGGGTTGTCCGGCTCAGTATGCAAACGTCCAAATGGGTCGTCAGATTGATCAGAAATTTTAGGGTTTTGACTGCTATAAATATCATTTCACTTAGCATTCAATACAACACTTCTTGGGAGAATTTAAGTGAAATATTCTTGAGCAAAACTATATTGACTTTACATCTTATTTATTTTTATCAAATTATTTATTTTGAAAAACTTTTGAAAATCATTCTACTCATCAAACCTAACATTTGAACTTCATTCATTATTTATTAAAATGATAGCATATTTCTCTCTTGGTAGTTAATTTAATCATATCATTTGTTAAGAGCGAAGTTTTAAATTTTAAAATCAACTTCCTTTAAATTTGTGGGTCGTGTTTAGGTCCACATTGTATAAGGACCCGTGCTCTTTATTTGTAAGTCATCGAAAACGTTGTAAATGATTGAATTTCACCACAAGTCAATGAATATAGTGAAAATGTCGTGCTCGTGTCGGAGAGCTTGGTAAAGGGGGATGTAGATCATAGCTTTGGATCGAACATCCACAATTATATCGTTTGCATCATCTTTCCTCTTGTACTCATTGCTTTTATATTTGTGCTTATTATTTGAATTATCTATTTAGTCTTTACTTGAATTTAAATTAATTCTCCAAAAAAGTTTTAATAACCAATTCATCCCCTTCTTGATTAGTCATTCTTGGGTTATCAATTGGTATCAAAGTAATATGCTCATTTTAAAATTAAGATTATACAATCTTGAACAATTGCTAACTACAATTTTCAAAATCTTGAGGGGCATTTTACTAATCGTCATTCTTTATTTAATGACACGCATTATAATTATTGAAAAATTAGGATGATGATTTAAATTCAATCAATAGATTATAAATTATATGAAGTTATTAAATATGATCCTTATGTGCCTACCAAGATTATTAAAGTTGATGGCAAACCCGATCAAACCATTCCAAAATCTAGAGAGAAATATGACGAAAATGATAAAAGAAAATTATCACTGAATGTTAGAGCCAAAAATCTACTTTATTATACTTTAGATAGAAATGAATTTAATAGTATTAGCAAGTGTGATTCCGCATATGACATTTGGCATGCATTGGAAATTTACCTATGTTGACACTAGTAAAGTAAATGAAATTAAAAGTAATCTATCGGTTAAAGAATTTGAAAACTTTTTTTATGAAACAAGATAAACATATTATTGACATGATTACTTGCTTTACCAATATTGTTAATGACATCAAAGGGCTTGATCGAAAATTTACTAATGGTGAACTTATAAGTAAAATGTTCACGTCACTATCGAAAGATTGCAACTCATTAAGGATGTTGATAGAAAATACCAAAGATATTAACTCATATCATTTGGAAGAATTTTATGGAATATTGATGAAATATGAGTCCAACAACGTTGAGACAAAGGAGAAAACAATGAAAAGTAAAGAGGAATCAAAGAGCATCCTAAACGCCAAATTGATCTTAAATTAGCAATTGAAAAATGAACAACAAGTGAAAATATGAATTATGAAGAGCTCGATGATCTAATCCTTCTTGTCAAAAAATGGAGAATTCTTCGAAATAATTGGAGATTCAAAATAAAGAAGAAAATGGTGAAAAATAAGCTAGAAAATTATTTTTTATGATTATGACAAACCCGATCACAAGAGAACTGAGTGTCCAAACAAGAAGAAAAATAAAAAGAAAAATGTGCTTCAAACAACATGTGATGAGAGCGACGTGATGATCGTGACGAAAATGAAAAAATTGCCAACATCTGCTTCAAGCAATTGAAGATTAGGTAAAATCTATTGAAAAATGTTCATATGATGATTTATCTACCTCCTATGATAAAATTCTTGAGGAATTTGAAAAGCTTGCTCTAAATCATTCTATAAGCTCAAAAAATAATTTTTTATGTATAAGAAAAATTACTTCATAAAAAGTATGAATAAAAATTATTTTTTTTGAAAGGTAAGAATTTCAACTTAATATTTAAACATTTTATAAGTATCACTTACCTTGAAAATTAAGTAAAAATGCTATTTAAAAGCCTATATTTTCAAAACAGCCAAGAAAGAAAAATTCGAGAAAATAATGTCCAAGCGAACGTCCGGTTCATCCAACGATCGAATTTTTAACTGTTATGAATTCTGACTTATAACTGCTAGTTGGATTGTCCAATTCAATATGTCGACATTCATATGGGTTGTCCGATTTAACAAAAGTTTTGGCGTTTTGACTACTGTCACCACAATTTCACTTTGCATTCAATACAATATTTCTTAAGAGCATTTAAATGAGATATTTTTTAAGCAAAACTATATTAATCTTACATCTTATTTATCTTTATCAAATCATTTATTTTGAAAAACTTTTGACTGAATAAACTTTTTAAAATCATTCTACTCATCAAAATTTTTCTCACTTAACATTTGAGTTTCATTCATTGATATTTATTAACGTGTTAGTTTATTTCTTTCTTGATACTTAATTTGATCGTATCCTTTATCAAGAGAAAAATTTTAAATTGTAAAATCAACTTCCTTTAAATGTGTGGGTCGTGTTGAGATTCTGTAAAACTCCATATTATACAAGGATCTATGCTCTTTGTTTATAAGTTACCGAAATTGTTGTAAATGTTTGAACACAATCAATCAACATAATAAAAAGACCTTACTCGTGCCGGAGAGTTTGATAAAAGATGACGTAGATCATTGTTTTAGATCGAACCTACACA